GATTGATTGGCTTGATACAATTCTATAATTGTGATAAAGAGTGAAAATGAGTCTCACTGAAATGGACAAAATTAAACCAGTTTGTTGGCATGATATCATTGTCATGTTTATGCATACATATGGCAGTTCTTAACAAACTATCACAATAATGTTTCTACACAATTATAGATGTATATAACTTTAGATTGTAGGTCTTACAAATATGTCAATGAGTGCGTGGTTTGGCCACAGTTTTGCAGTAGGTCCATCGTTCCCCTTCATGTAGATTGTTTCCTTGATGTCTTTGCGTTTGGAGAGGACATCTCTATGACCATGCTGAGCCAAGCGACGATGAAGGTTTTTAATTTGGTTGTCAGGACAGACTCTAGCAAAGCGGGCGATCAGGGTTTTACTGGCTTCATGAATCGTGTACATGTCAAAAGCAACCTAGAAGGAAATGGAAAAGGTTTTTAAGACGCAAGCAAAATAGTTTTACAGTTGGAATAAACTCGTTTCGATATTATAGGATTAATAGTGGCTCTAGCCAATTTGGGTCGCAGATCTGCATCTGAAATATGTGAATTGGACGAGCTGCTACCGTAAAGTGTACTAATAATTGGGGTAATTCAGTGCAATGAGATGGCGCGAATACTTACAGCTCTCCCGTCTATCTCGGCTATGTATGCGTAGTTGTAGGGACGTGTCAGGTGATGTCGGTAGAGCTTTTCACCGGAGAGAGGGTCAGTGTCGTTGTAGATGTGTTCATTGATGCCGTAGACTGCCTTGTGGTCGTCAGCAGTGGCTCGTCTATGACAAGTGTGCAGTCGTGTAGTTTGACACCGTTAAATGTACGTCTCAGATATGTAAAATGTACGTCTCATGTACGTCTAAGACCAGGCTTCAACTAATATCACAGATATAATATACTATATAGCAGGGGCGTGTACAGGATTTGTACCAGGGGGGCGGGGTCTAACCGTAACCCAAACTTGCGAGCACATGAAGGGGGGGGGTCTGGGACCCTCACCCAGAATTTTTTTGAAATTAGACCTCCCTTAAATGCGTTTTCTGCGCGAGCAGGGGGGGGGTCCGGACCCCCTGAACCCCTCCCTGTACACGCCCCTGTATAGTCTCTTTAAACATTTCAATGCATAATAGAGCGACATAGCTATCACTGTTATAATTTAATCACCAAGAAACTGAGAGTGAATAAGATAGCTCTACACCAGCTTACACGCACACACACGCACACACACACGCGCGCACACACACACACACACACACACACGCACGCGCACACACGCACGCACACACATATACACACGCGCACACACGCGCACGCGCCCATTTATACAATTGTTTATTTGTTTATATGATAGTGCATGCCCTGCTCTTAGCTGTCTCTACGAGCTATTTCGGCTTAATTAAAAAATGTCAACTTCTTATCGCCGTTAGTCAGTCAGAGTTACAACTGATCAATTGGTTGCAAGTGCTATATCGGTGTCTCTGTGGTTAAACAATGTTGGATATCTTACCTGTACATGATCATTGTAGTACTCCAGGTTCCTGCCACATTTAATATTCACCCATAAAGTCTTCGTACACACCTACAAAGTGCAAGTGATTGCCAAATATAAATACTGACAGCAATATATACAGTCTGCTGTGCAAATATGTATAATTCATCGCCTGAAACTTTTAGTGTGTATATACTATATAAACGTTTTTCGTTTCGAGTGGTGTGCCAAAAAGGAATTGTACATATCAAGAATACATAAGACGTAGACGAAACTGTAGACGAACTGTAGCGAGTGCGAAATTAAGTGGTCACACTGGTAGAGAGAGCTACTCCTGCAAGTGCGTGTAAACACCTAGTGTATGTATGTATGTGTGTGTGGGAGGGGGGGACGGGTAATCCAGTCATGTACTGACGGTAAGAAATAGCTAGCGTACCGGTCGTTCAAGGCCGTATCCTGGCAAAATCGTGACTCATCAAAATTATAACAGGAATTTTTTTTGGTAAATCTTTCAAGAAATAATCGACAACATTTTGCCTAATATTCGATTCTATTATTTAGTGAATGTATCTTAGGGTTAGTTACAATCATTATGACCATTTTTACTTCTTAATCTATACGGGACAGCTATACGTGATTTTCACATAGCTAACACAGTATATATGGACTGCTGCCCCCTATGCCGGCCTAACGTCGCAAGTGATGACGGCGTGTTTGAGTATAGCTTTAATAGGGAGTAGGTTTGAATAGAAGCAATAAGGCGCTTAATCGCTTATACTGGCCTGCTTTGAGAACAACTATAAGTCAAGCGCTATGTCCAGTAAAATTCAGTCAGTAGCTTTAACCAATATTGCCCTTTGCTCAAACATATTATTACCAGTCGTAGGACCGCTATACCTGGTTCAGTGCGATATATTACTGTAATTTTAGTAACAGTTTGCCATTCATCTACTCACACACTACTATCACTGCAGCATACGATTATTTTGTTATTGCGTTTTATGACAGGAATGTAACTATGGTAATCAATTAATTACCTCCGCCAAGGAGGTAATGTAATCGGTCCCGTGTGTGTTCGTGTGTGTGTGTAGCCACTAGTGTTCGCGCGATCGATTCAGCAGCAGCTCGCCTTAGGGCGTCGAGTCAGCAGCAGCTCGCCTTAGGGCGTCAAGTCAGCAGCAGCGCGAGGGCCAGCTGTTATACACATACATGTTACATGCTGGCGGAGGTATGCACTCTCCGTGAGTGCCCTCTGTCTAGTTATATATTTGACACATAGTCACTCAAGAGCATAACATTAGTTATTTTAGCATTTATTCGTAACGATAGAGTGTTCCAGGTAATTGCAAATAAGTTTAAATCTATAAATCTAGCAGATCGCTCATTCATTTGACATTTCAATATTTCCGTGCTGCCATAGATGAACATGTTCAAACAGCAGTACTGTTATTTCAACGGTGCAATCATCCGTGGTTATGCCGTTGTTACCACCTCTGTTCCATCTGCTAGGGAGGTGGTGTGGTTCATACAGTGAAAGACGTGCTCCAGCCAGGACGTGAAGATCATTATAGTGCGCGTATTTAACTGAACACAATCCAAGCTTGTGCATAGCATCGTTAATTTCATTTCTATGTTTTGGTTCCAGTGTGAAACAGACGTTTGTCATTAGATGGAAAAATATCTCTTTATCTGGGTTTTGTTTGGCAACGTCTGCTATTTGTCGGTATGCATGAGCAATGACCGTCTCTGCATCTTTGCTATAGACGTTGTGTGCACGTAGTTACTAGGGTCAGAAACGCCGCGCACAGAACCAAAACTCACGGATACATAACGGCCATCGAATAGCTCTACTATTACATGTGGGTTTTCATTCTCCATGATGATGCTATAATTGCCGGGAGTCGTCATGTATGGTATCTGGTCAATAGTTACTCGTTCACTACCATCGAGCTGTCTGCCAATGCTGGAACAAGTGAGCAGCTCGAACTTCTGCTTGCTATTGGCTTCAGTCAGTTGCCATGGTAGCAAGCTGGTTATCCGTTGGCATCTTGTGAGCAAGTCTCGTGCAGGAGTAAAATTAAACATAGACGCATGCTGAAAAATATGTAAACGTGGATTAGTATGACTAGATTGATTAGGTAGAAATAAAGTGTTTCTATGAAGAGTGATGAGAGTGAATATGAACCCTCATTGTAAATATCAAGCTATCCAGTGTGTTACCGTAGTGTAATTGTCATGTTTCTGCACTATTGTCTACCAGTGTATGTAACAGTGAATTGTAGGTCTTACGAATATGTCAATGAGTGCGTGGTTTGGCCACAGTTTTGCCTTGGGTCCATCATTCCCCTTCATGTAGATTATTTCTTTGATGTCGTTGCGCTTCGAGAGGACGTCTTTAACACCATGTGCTGTTAAATGCCGGTGAAGGTTTTTGATCTGGTTATCAGGACAGACTCTAGCAAACCGGCCTATCAGAGTTTTGCTGGCTTCATGAAATGTGAACAGGTCAAAGGCAACCTAGAAGGAAATGGAAAAGGTTTTCGGTTTCTAGACGAATAACGCTAATAATTAATTATTATCATCTGCTACAGTGGACCTATGTAAACAAAATGTATTTTGTGTTTGGTACTGTAAGTTAGTGTATCCTATCACTATACTCCATCTATCTGTAATTTTAGTCAGGGGCATAGGATCCGTCTATGAAGGATGTTGATGGAGGCCGAGTACTACACAACTCACCCCACCAAAATCCCAGGGGGTGGGGGGAATTTACACTGATACTATAGCATACTGTATATTTCGCGGTGGTTTAACTTTCGCGAATTTCGCGAACGCGTCCCCGACCGCGAAAATAACAACACGCGAATAATTCATACCGAATAATTCATAATTCACCGGCCGCGAAATTAACCACTCGCGTCCATCAAGTCTGAATTCGCGAAAATATCTGTACGCGAAAAATATGGCGCATACAGTAACTGTGTACCATTACGGAATGTTATTTCCCCCAAAATGCAGAACTGTTTTCACCATTCTACATATATCTTATCTAGCTATAAATCACGTCGTTCATGTTTATAGGGGTAAAACTTACTGCTCTTCCGTCTATCTGTTCTAATAACTGGAGTGATTCAAGTATTGGGGGGTTTTCATACTTACAGCTCTCCCGTCTATCACGGCTATGTATGCGTAGTTGTAGGGACGTGTCAGGTGATGTTGGTAGAGCTTTTCACCGGAGAGAGGGTCAGTATCATTGTAGATGTGTTCATTGATGCTGTAGACTGCCTTGTGGTCGTCAGCAGTGGCTCGTCTATGACAAGTTTGCAATTAGTTTGACACCGTTATTAATAATCCACCAGATGCACTAATAATAATATCATTTTGCTGTTATCCATCGAACTCGCCACCTCGCGTTCACCCTGCTATTTCAGCAGGTCGGATTTGCCATTATAGTTTTTGATCTACTAACCAGATGAGCTTCTGAAATTTGACAGGGATCAAGCTCACTTTTTGGTAACCTTATTTATGTATAACCTGAAATAGGAAAATCAAAGAATATAATTCCTCATACTAGCCTCGGTCTACCTATAATTTATTAAGAATAACTGAATAAAGGTGAACTCAAACATTACCTTAAACATTCAGTAACCGTCGTTCCTAATCATTTGCCCCAACTCACAATCATGACCACAATCATGATCACAATCCTGATCACAATCCCGAGAGAATGAATGGAAATTAATCGATGATAATCGAATTATTTATGGCCAATGCCAAAATGCAAAGCAGGTCACAACTAGTACCTACTAGGGACGGTAACATCCCATTTCGCCTACTCCCATCTCGTCTACTCTCAGAATCGGCAATATTCCCATTTCGCCTACTCCCATTTCGTCTACTCTCACTCTCAGAACTATTTTTGTCAAGTTTGTGTTCTCATTATTTGTACCTATTTTTTCTTCTGGTTCCTGTAGTCTATCCTATGTATGTATGCCAATCAAAACCATATTTTATTATTTATAAATGATTATTTAGTGAACAAACCGATCGTAGACGAAATGGGAATGGGGTAGAATTTGAGCGTAGACGAATTGGGAGTAGGCGAAATGGGTGTAGCCGTGTAGGCCAACTGGGAATTTTGCTGTAGGCGAAATGGGAGTAGGCCAACCGGGAATAAACCCTAGTGACATATGTTCGGTACATTATGGGGTTTTGTAGAGAATCACGTCATGCTGCAGACGTTTGAAAAACTCATTCTAGGTGCTATGCTATCATTGTTTCACTAGATATGATCAGGAGTGAATATAATATTATTCTATTATTATTATTATTATTATTATTATTATATTTTTCTGTTATTATTCACTCCTGATATGATATACTGTCTCGTCCACTGGTTCAAACGTTTGTGAGACATCGGTGGCAAGAAACAAGGGCATGTGCTAGAATCTAGATGACACACCGCTCGGAAGGCAACATTCATACTTTTTTCATGGTCAAAACTCTTCGGACTTACATTTAGGTACACTATATTTGATGAGAATAAAGATGTGCTTTGCTAGTCTTGTTGCAGAAGTGATGTGTGCTCTGTTCATTGGAGTGTTTTTGCACTCAGCTCTCTGCTGTCAGTGACCAAATGACAGAGCATTGCAGTGTTTCCCCTGCATTGACATGAGCGAGGCGGCCCGCCTCACTCAAATTCTCAGCCGCCACACAGAAATTTGTCCAAAACACCGCCTCGCTGACGAAACTTTTGGCAACTTGAAAAAGAGATTCAAGAGTCTCATACAATGTGTCCAGAATAGCTTATAATACACCAAATTGCACCATTCAACTTTTGCAACCATTGCACTTTTCAAATATTTTCTGGGGGGGGGGCATTCCTCCGGACCCCCCTAGCTGGCCAAGCACGTGCACTCCTTGCTTTGCTAGGACCTTGAAACACAGAAACACCACAAAAAATTTACCACCTTTTTATACCTTTCTGGCCAAGGGACTGCATTGCATATTCCAAACTAAGGGTTCAAGAGACAACTCCTCAAGACATTGCACACATCATTCCTGAAGCTTGTTTACATGCTGCACATAGGCTATAATGTATTCGGTAATAAGGTATAAGGTAACAAAGTGACTAAAATCATGGTAGGTTGATACAAGTTTTATACTTTTTGTATACTTTTTTTCAATTTTGATACTTTTTTTCTGACAGATTTTATACTTTTTTTGTAATATCCTGAGTGGCAGCACTGATATAGGGAATGCGCGTCCCTTGGCATTCTACTGTCTATCCGGGTTTTCGCCACTGGCAGCAAGAACAAGGGGTGTGCTATCCCCCGGGCGTGGAGGGACGGTCACGTGATACAGTTGACGCAGGCCTATACTTCAAAACCTAACAGTAACCATAACCCTAACTCCAACACTAACCCTAACACTAAACATCTATATATCGGATCTCTATATATAGGGGTGTCATCCACAAAAATTAATCTATGGTGTGGGGACAGATATCATGATGCAAAAACCCTAACCCTAAGATTTCTTGTGTTCTCAGGCCATGTATCTTGGCGTAAAACTGCTGCGAAAACCACTGGCAGCAAAAACAAGCCCGCACGTACAGCACACACGCGGCCATTGACTATTATAACAGCGTTGTTATAATAGTCAATGGCCGCGTGTGTGCTGTACGTGCGGGCTTGTTCTTGCTGCCAGTGGTTTTCGCAGCAGTTTTACGCCAAGACATGGCCTGAGAACACAAGAAATGTTTCCTCCTTCGTAATTTAGAGTAGTCGTTTAAGCCCGGCGCACACGTAATTTTACTCACGTTTGCGGCTGACGCTGAAAATATTACGCGTGAGTAAAATGACGCCGGGCTTTAGATCCAACGATCGTGTACTATATGGTAGCCTTACGCCAGAGCCACGTATGTACGCTTTATAAAATATATTGAAATTCATTACTGCGCGCTGCTGCCACCGGGCTGAATGGGGTGCACTGCAGCGAATCCTGGCATACATGTGTGGTATGCGGTGAAGGCACATTGGCGCCTATCCTACTATACACGCGGCTGGTACTTAATTGCGTTTACAAACCAGAAAGTTCCTAGCTATACTTGAAAGCATGCCAACGAGTTTTACGAGAAAAGGCTCATTCCTTCCATCTCCCTAATATATAACGACGATATATAACTATAATACGAGACACTGTATTACACACACACGCACGCACGCACTCTCGAAAGTAAGCAATCCTCAATTTTCCCCTATTTCCCACCATTTTCCCCGGGAAATACTTTCGCTCGTATACTATATACGAGGTACGTACTAATATACTAGCATATACGTAGTATACTATACACGAGGTACGTATACAGGTCTTACCTGAACGTGATTGTTGTCGCGGTCATCGTTTATGCAACTCGCTAGCTCGCCTAAATTTATTAGTGTATGCCGATAATGCCGTATCATAGCGGTGATACTAGAGACGCCCGTGCATGAAACGGAAGTGTATGCAACAGGCGCCGCGACTTCAGCAGTGTTCGTCGCCAAGCGCGCACGCAGACGCGGGAACGATCGTACGACAGTATGCACGCTGGGCAGCTATGGATCCGTGCGCCGAACTGAAGTTGGCCGGCGCCGATCATAGCTGCCAGCGAACAGCTCCGCAACTTTAGTGCGGGGACACAGAGGTGCTAGACATTTTGGGACCGTGACAGTGTTCACTTGTTATAAAACTAAGTCTCTGGTCGTAACGAGCTGTCTTGTGACGCGAAATCACAGAAAGACGCCTACGAATTCTAGCGTTTCGCGAACCTTGCCCAGATAATTGGAATTTGCTGCCAAGAACAAAGGCTACATAGACTGGCGACTCGCTCCCACTCGATTTTACCCATCGAGTGACCATTGCTAAGCTATATCGAGAACACGTTAGCAATGCTGCAGAGGAGTCGATTGTCCCCGGGTGGTACTGCCGGAACGTAGCCCTTTGGATCGTCTGTATACCTGAACGTACCCTTCTATCTTTCTCTTCCTTTTTATATACTATTTCTCTTTCTCGCCTTCTCTGCTCTACCATCTATAATCTTGTTATCACCTCTCTCCCGAATACTCGAGGTACGTGGGTTCCTGCTGGTGCTCTAAATATCTCCACGTTAGGTTCTTACTAGTATCGTGCTCAGTTGTGCTCATATGTCTGGCTCTTGCTCTCTCGCTTACATCTCTCCTCGCGCTCTCCTCGTCTACTCTGTGCAGCTCATTACGTTACTTCTTCTCTCTCTCTCTCTCTCATCTACTCTACTATTAGTCTTCTCCGTCTCATTTCCATTCTCTCTCTCGTGAGCCATTATGATCTTGATTGCAACGCTTCAGTGCCCTGTGTTCTAGCATATAGGGGGATTGCTAACCTAGCAATATCGACGTTTCTTGGAGCCTTAGTATCAGTATTAGTAGTCCGTTATATAGTAACTGTAAGTAGTAGGTCTAGTACGTAGTGTCTAGTAGATACTAAGTGGTTCAAGCGATAGAGAACATTAAGGTCCCAAATATTATATGGCGCCCGAATGTATGCATGCT